CCTGGCCTCGAGTACTAGTGCTCATGATAGACTAATTAACGAATATAAAAAAAACATTAGCACAAGTTAAGTTTTCAAAATAAAGTTGATGTTTTTACAATTGATATTTTAAGTTGGGGTCTGCTCTTTCCTTTATAATAGCAGGATTTGGTGTTATTATTTATTTATTGCTATGGTGTAGATTTAAGTACATGTTTGTTATTTAGTGCAATGCCCGATAAATAACAAATGTTTAACAAATTCAATTTGACTAAAATATCATTAAAACATAGGCGTTGATTACCACATATCAAACCTGGAAACAACTCTAATAAATTAACAAATTAAATTCTCCTGTTACCATACTGTAAAGTGAATGAGAGTGGAAAGTTTTAAAAACGTATCCATATTTTCAGTTAAGGTAAAAATATCTCTTTTTAAGTACTATATGTATGTTTTAAGTAAACTTAATATGTAAACTTCGAGTGATATATATAAGTTCCAACGATAACCTGACATTTTATCTCTGTTGCTAGTGGCACTTTAAGGTGTTTATGTGTGTGTGTGTATCGGCTATATCTTGTGATTCATTTATGATTCTCTTTAAAATTTTCAGTAGGAAATTGTATCTACAGTAAAAAGATTTTGCCAATTTTCTAATTTATGGATTCCACTAGGAGTCGCCTGTGGGGCAACATTTATAGTAATTCGTGTGATCTGGCTTGATGTGTTTCTTTCTCCGTTGATACGTATATTAACTCGATATACCAAATGGGAAAAATACTAAATTTTGGTTAATATTTGTAACTGTCTACTGGTTTACCAAAGATATTTGACTTACTTTGTGCAAAACACATTTTTGCAGATTATAATGACCTTTTATTGTGCAAATTTTGTTTGTTTTTGAATTTCACGCAAAGCTACACGAGGGCTATCTGCGCTAGCCGTCCCTAATTTAGCAGTGTAAGACTATAAGGAAGGCAGCTAGTCATCACCACCCACCGCCAACTCTTGAGATTGACCGTCACATTATAACACCCCCACGGCTGAAAGGGCGAGCATGTTTGGTGGGACGGGGATTCGAACCCGCGACTCTCAGATTGCGAGTCGAACGTCTTATCCACCTGGCCATGCCGGGCACGCCAATCGGAACCACATACAAACAGAGGACTGACCTTAAAGACGGCTCTTGTTAGTTAGAATTTAAAATAAACTTTATAAAAGTTTCTTTAAGTATATGTAATGAGAACCGTATGACCGATGGGCGTATAGAGATCAAATATTTGTTTATATTATTTTTGTAGATCAATGCTTGGTCTCACTTATAAATTGAATAACTGGCGTATGGATTATAACTCACACACATATCTATCGTGTGATGCTTTACATACAAAACCTTTGTTGTAACCCCATACAAGAGCTCTAGCTGAAATTTGTGATGAAATCACGTAAGCTGCAGATTTTTTTATAATTCCTATTAAATTGATTATTTCGGATTCAAAAACACATCTCTGTTTTTGAATTCAAAATGGACAAATTAAGATGAATGTGTGAAAAAATCCGCAGTTTACGTGATTTTTATCACAAATGTTAGGCGTATTGGTTTCTAATGCTTCATCAGTTTTCAGGTTTAAACAGTAACGGTTGCTTTTCACAATAAATAAGAGTAAGTGTACACATTGTTTAAACTTATAAGCCGACTGAGCTTGCGCAGGCAAAACAGTAAACATTATTGACTTCATTATATCTGAGATTTTTACTTGTTCATAAATTTTGTGAAAAATTATGATACTTTAATATAACAACATTTTGAACAGCATGTTGGAAGGTCATCAAGAAAGTGCTCCCTAAGGAAGCGACAGATAGGGTTAAGTTTCTATCCATAACATCTTTCACAGATTTCTTTGATCCAGAAGCACTTCCTCCACATCTAGGTGGCACTGTAAGTAATTCTTTATCTTACTTTCTTTTTTTTTCAGTGGTTAAGTTTTTGTAAGAGAAGTCGACTAAACGAGCATAGTGAATTAAGCATGTTACTGTAGCATTTGGTATTGTCAACTGAACATACAAATAGATTAATTTGTTAATAATAGGATAATGAAGGAGTCGGGACATGGTTGAAAAATGAAGGTATTCCGCTCAGTACTCCTGCTTTCCTGTACACATTGTGGGTATTCACACACTGATCTTAACCCAAAGGGTAATTTAGATTTTAATATTCAACAAGGCGGACTACGCTATACTACGATATCGGAGTGAAATAGATCTCGTTGTTTGTTGTTAATTCTCTTTCAGAATGTTTTCTAGAAACAAAAAACACCAATCAGATGAAGATCAATGATTGATTTTTCCATGTAAGTGTGGAAACCAACAATCTCGAAAAGGTCACTTTTCCGATCGCAAGAGCCCACGACCCAACAAATCAACAAGACTGATAAAACTAGGAAACAGCAACATATCCAAGATGGAGATTACAGGAAGTCAAGAGTATCTCAATTTAAAACCAAAATCTATAAATAATGTGCATGAATTTTGATACGTTTGCATTAAGATCCTAGAAATATGGACTTGCTGATAAGAGTGCCATAGGAAATTCATTATGTGATAAAACTCATTTATATATATATACACACACTTTTTCACTTTCAGATTTTTATCGAACAATCTAAAGGGTTAGTTTAAGTAACGATCATATAAAGCTATTTGTGTTCGTAATTAAAGCCAGGAATTCAGTGTTCTTGTTTTGGAACGTGATTTCTGGTACATAGCCTGAGTTATCCTCTAATTGGATACTGTCAAAATCACTTCTTTTACAACTCAATATTACCATATACTTCTTGATCCCATCTCTTCTTCTTTAATTAACAAGTGAATTATATTTACATACAAATGTTCTGGCATCGAGCAACTTATGTCTTCTGCTGTCTCAGTCTAGTGTAGGACAATGAACGGACTTCTTTAGCTGTAAGTTCCATTTTCTACCCATATATTAATACTATCAATTTTAATGTAAATGTACCACCATTAAATTAACCAGAAAGTAAGGAACTGTAAACAGTAATAAACATACGTATATTACTTTGCAATGCAATAGACATTTAAAAAGTCTATGTGAATGTATTTTGAGCTTCGATTTCAATAATTTGATAGTTATCCTGTTTTAATGTGGCATTGTCAATTAAATGTCCCACAAAAAATACAATCACGTATTTTAAAAATTCTTAAACCTTTACAACTTCTTATTTCTTTTGGAAGCACTTCTGCGTATGCGTACAAGAGTCTACAATGCATTAAGACCTTAAATGCTTATGATAATAGATAGTTGAAACCCCTATATTAGACGATTAAAGTATTTAAGTGCCGTAGTTGCGAAGATATAGTCAATTTACGCAAGTTTAAGTTCATGATGTTCGACCTACTATCTTGCTCTTGCGTCATCTATAAATTTGCATGTTCAAGGTGTAACCATGGCTATATAGGCTCTACAACTCGTTGTTTGAATTCAAGAACGAAATAACATGTGTAAAATACTCTATATAATCATTCAGCCATTCTCCACCATTGTTTACACGACTGTGATTTCATTCTTAGTGTTAACGACTTCAGTAACTTGGAAAGTGTATCGAATGAAAAAATGCTAAGGAAAAGAAAGCCTGTGGATTTACAAAATACGTCAGAACTGAATAAGCTTGAAAAAGCTCAATTTGAACGATATAGTTATGAAGAACCAGACAAAAGAAGAAGAAAAAGAATCTGGATTATTTGTAGTTGTGAAACAGACAGTTGTTATCACATATTATATAAAAACCTATAAGTTTACTCGAAAAACTCTGGTAATTTTGTCCAATGAACCATCGATTACAACGCGATTTTTAAAGGAGTGTACAGTGTTTTAAGGTTTGATTCGCGCTTAGCAGCTCCAAAAGAAACTCGTGTTACCCTCTCACATTAATGCATATTTTACTAAAGGGGATATTTTCACAAAATTTATAATCATTATCCAATTCTTCACCGTGCAGGACGGCTTTAATTATATCCTGAATATTGTAATGTTGTTTAACATGAACGTTTAAAAATCGATACATTTATACTTCTTGAGCTACAAGACTGTTATTCCAGTGGTTTCCTTAATGACTAAAAGAGCAACAAAATGATATTCTACACCAGTTAAAAGCAACATTTCAAGTAAAGTTTCTGGAAGGTAAGTTTTAAGTCATTAAATTTCACAAGACAGTGTCAATTAAAGGTGAACTGCGAAAAAAATACCATGCCAAAAATCATATTAAAATATTTATATATAAAATAAAATCTGTCTCAAATTTTTTTTTAATATGTTCTCGATAACTTGCCAAAGACTACAACAGTCTGCCCGAATTATCATTATTATTTGCAATATATTTATCGTTTAATCTTGGAACACAATTCAAGATAGCTTTTTCATAGTCACCCAGTTGTATGTTCTTTCAAAATGTTGTTGGTTTAAAATTCTGCAGTTCAATAAGAACGAGTCTTGTTTTTACTTTTTTATTTTATTTTTTGCAAAAGTTACTTTCGGCTTATGCTAAACAAATGTTTATTCAGTATAATAATGAACAATACCATGGTTTAACATCGTGGGCGTAAGATTTTATGAGAATAAAACAAGTGACGTTTGTTGATAAGTGTTGTCAATTTAATTAACAAAAGCATGAAAATAACTTGAAACGAATAAGGTAGAAATGATTAGTGGTTTTATTAGTAGTTTTAACTGATTATAAGTTTTTGTTAACAGTGTGACATGGGTTATTTTAACCATTATTAATTTAATCTGGTTACTCTTTCCACAGTTTAATTCTACCATATTGGTCTTGTGTCCAGCTTCAGTAACTATACTTTTAAGACTCGTGAATGAATGCGAGGTCCTACCTAACTACATATCTGAAGATTTTATTTTTTATAACATCATATTTTACTTTTCTAGAAGTTGTGCATAAAAAGAAAGAAATTAGTCGTGTATAGGTTTTTATATTAAGATATTTAAGTTAACGAATACTTAAATATGTGACGCAATACTGGCGCATTTTGGCTCTTCTCTTTTTAACCTGGTTTCTTTTTTTACTTTTGACTGTTTTGATCGAAACCTATATGTTAATAACTACAACTTGATTGGATAGAAAAAAGATCTGGCTATAGTTTATAATCTAAGATCATCTGAACAAAGGCGAAGATTTCATTAATGTTAACACTTGTATTAAATACTTTTAGCCTCAATGAAAATATCAAGGAAACGGAAGTGATTTGTATATTTTGTACACACTATCTATAGGAATATAAACTTGTTGGAAATTCTAACACTTACTATAAATCTGTGATACTTATACTCTATAATATATGTATCTTAGGTTGCAAGCAGTTCTAATCACTCATGATATCATAAGTTATTCTAAAAAGCCATAGTAGGCCCAGCATGGCCGGGTGGTTAGGGAGCTCGACTCGCAATCTGCGGGTCGCGGGTTCGAATCCCCGTCCCACCAAACATGCTCGTCCTTTCAGCCGTGGGGGCGTTATAATGTGACGGTCAATCCCACTATTTGTTGGTAAAAGAGTAGCCCCAGAGTTGGCGGTGGGTGGTGATGACTAGCTGCCTTCATCTAGTCTTCCACTACTAAATTAGGGACGGCTAGCGCAGGTAGGCCTCGTGTAGCTTTGCGCGAAATTCAAACAAACAAACCATAGTTGTAAATTAAAAATAGTTAAATCACATTGGAATATTTATACAGTTCCATGTCTGGCCCCCAGTGGCACAGCCGTATGTGGGCAGAGTACAAATAGCACTTTGTGTAGCTTTCTGCTCAACAACAAACAAGCTAGCTAAATTGTCGGATATCACAATGTGGAAACGCTAATAAATATGATCTTGACTTTTATAAGCTATAATAAATTATTTTGAATATTTTATTTTTTTACTTTTCATCTAGTGCCTGAAAGAATACAAACCGATTCAGTACTCTGCTTTTAGTGGAGAAGAATGTTTTAGTACCGTAAGAAAGGACTCCACATCAGTTATGAATGAAGGAAGAGAAAAAAAGGCTTAACACCACCTAGTATATTATAACACTTGGTAACAAAACATTTTTGAGAGCATTACAAAAATATAATAAAACTTTTTTGTTGAGGGCTTTAATTAGATCCTATGATTTATATGGGTTTTTTTTTAAATTACGTCTCTAAAAAGATTTTATCTTCTATAGAAACCTATACATTTCTGTGCAAATATATGAATTTCGTATATGAACCTATCACGAATACTTTCAATGGGTTTTTCTTGGTCCTCAAAGTTTTCTAAATTGTGTCTTCTTGATACCTGGTTAATATAATAACGTGGAGTTTATTCACCATGTCTGTCGCAGTTAATTAATATGAATAAACTGTTTTCCATTTACACAGTTGACCTTTTTGTAAATATCTGTATTATCAAATCGGAAACAAATAAAGTTAGAATATTTAATATTCATTGCATTTGTGACTTTCTTGTTTACTTGCAATACAGTTTAAAGCTAAAAATGACTGGGAATTTAGTTATATATATATATATATATATATATATATAT